CGATGGAAATTTTTAGTCGAGGAAGAGGAGGGGAGGAGGGAAGATAGCGATAGAAATCGATAGAAGCAGTGTATCGCGATACGATAGGGTATCGAAGAGAAAAGAGAAAAAGAGAGAAAGAAGGTGGACCTTCAGAAGAGGCGCGTGAAATCACCGGTATTCTTCCTGGCGGGAGACGACACGTGGTTTCTGCAGGCACGCGGCTCCCTACTCTCCACCACGAGTTCCTCGTCCACGCTGGACGCAATCAGCCGATCCTCAAAGCGCGACCGGTAGTCGTACCGCGTGCACGTGGAGCTCTCCCATCAACCGATTATCGCCCATCGATCTCCGTCTCGTCCGCGCAGCAGGATCTAACGTCCAGTTGGCGCGTGATCCCTGACGATGATCGTACGCCCGGCCTTGCTCGATCTCGATCCATGACCCCGATCGTAAATCGTCGCGTAAATTTTGAAACAGTCGGAGGGAAATAGTCGCAGAAATTTTCTCGATATCGATATATCGCGAGCGTATTTGTGAATCGACTTCCGTGGAAAAGCCGTGGGTCGGTGGTTCGTGGTGAATCACTGTTTTGGGGCCGGCCTACCATCCAGTCATCCGGCCAGACTGGATCCGACCGGATTTCACCTTTCGACCAGAAGAACAGAAGGGATACAGGGTGGTTCCTCGGAGTTCAGTGGCACATGTGATCGTGATCGAGAGAGCTGCTCCAGTGTTCTCGCGCGGGGGCCAGCAGCGGTTTTTGTCCTCCAGTTTTGGATCTTGAGGAATGGACGGCCAAGAATGAAGAAAGGGTGAACGTTCGGCTGCGTAGAACGTGAGCGAGAGAGAGAGAGAGAGAGAGAGAGAGAGAGTTGCTTCAAATCGGGTGAGTCAACGTTTTGTTTTTATTTTTTCGAATATTTGTCTCGAGATGTCGTGTATCGACAACTACGCCGTTTCGCGTTTTCTATTTACCGGTATTTAGCTGCGAGGCTTGTTTATCTCGTTCGACGAGCGTACGGATCGATTGTTGTGTTGCGTTTGTGGTTTACGTTCGGATACTTTCTTGCGAAAAAAAAGAAAAAAAATTGTTCCCGTGTAATAACTTCGGAGACATCGTAGAGTGTCGCGAACTAGGTTATATCTTTTACATGGAAAA